ACAATCGAGGCCACCTCGTTGATGTCCTGGCCCGGCTCCGAGATGAGAGCGTAGCCCGTGGCACACAGAATGCGGCCCCAGTTGGCATCGCGTCCGTACAGTGCCGTCTTGACGAGGGGCGACCGCGCGATGGTGCTGGCCACCTTGCGCGCCGCCTCCTCGCTCGCCGAGTCAACGACACGAATGGTGACAAACTTGGTGGCACCCTCGCCGTCGCGGACAATGAGCTTGGCGAGGTCGGCAGAGAAGTCAGACAGCACAGTCTGGAAGGCCGCATAGTCGGGCGAGTCGACAGAGCTGATCTCCTGGCCGCCGGCAGCACCGTTGGCGAGCAGCGCCACCGTGTCGTTGGTCGACGTGTCGCCGTCAATGGTGATGCTGTTGAACGACCTGTCGACGGCGTGCTTGAGCACCGAGGGCATGACGCCCGGCGCGATGGGCGCGTCGGTCGCCACGACGCCCAGAAGCGTCGCCATGTTGGGGTGGATCATGCCGGCGCCCTTGGTCATGCCGGCCATCCTGTACTCGACGCCCGGCGACGACGGCAGCGAAAAGGTCCTCGACATGAGCTTCGGGAACGTGTCGGTCGTGCAGATGGCCGTCGCGCACGCGAGCCAGTCCTTGTGCCGCGAGCCCAGCGCCCCGTGCGCCGCCCCGACGTTGCCCACAATCTTGTCGATCGGCAGCCTCTGCCCGATGACGCCCGTGCTCATGACAATGGTCGACGAGCCCGCGCCGTCCTCGCCGCCGAGCTGCTCGTCCGCCGCCCTGGCCATGAGCGACGCGTCCTCGAGACCGCCCTTGCCCGTCACGGCGTTGGCGCACCCCGAGTTGATGAGCACGCCGCGGATGCCGCGGTTGCCGCGGCGCTGGAGGAGGTCGCGGCTGAACGTCACGGGCGCCGCCTGGAACTTGTTCTTCGTGAAGACGGCGGCGGCGGCGCACGGGCGGTCCGAGGTCAGGAAGGCGAGGTCGGGCTTGGTCTTGTTGCCCGGCTTGACGCCCACGAGGATGCCGCTCGCCTGGAAGCCCCGCGGGTAGCTGCCCTCGGTGGGCACATACTTCTTCTTGGCCGCCGGGATGCTCTCGGCGGAGACGGAGTAGCAGCGGGCGAAGGAGCGGGTCAGGGTCAATTGCTGAGGCAGTGCCTTGAATGAGGCGGCCATGATCGCTTGAGGAGTGCTCCGGGCACGCCTACGAGCAAAACTGGCGTGAATGGGCGTCTTCTGGTGCCAATTGGGTGAGTGATGGATGGGCAAGATAGATGAGTCGAAGCTATGAGTCGGCACTTGGGAGCTGGAATTTGCGACCGGTATCGCTGCCCCACTCTTGTCGATTCTTATCAGTATCGTCACCGACTGGACCATCTTCTCACCGAGGCCTAACATCGAATTTCGAGCGGTGTACGCGACCATCTCAATCTCAACCTTCAATGATTTCTCATCTCATTTCCGTCCAGAGTCGCCTATTTTCGGCTTGAGATTGAATCTTGTCGGCATGCAACGGCGCCATCAGTCACAGGAAATCATCCGTAAGCCACTGATGCCCCAACATGAAGACAGCATTGTGACAATTGCTCTGTATCATTGACGTGAGGGTTCCTTCCCACCTGCCGTGCGATTGTGACGGCTCATCTCCGGGCTCGACACATACGGCCTCTTACGGCCCATTCTTTTTCCACCTGGGGCCTTATGGTTACTGATCTGACACCGACTAATGAGGTTCCCATTGTCGCCTTAGTTCTTCCTCGCAGTCCTTAGAGAAGTCCTGATTCAACCATGGAGCTCTCAATCAGCATGTCATACTGGACACGGAGCGGGGACACTGGTGCCGTGGCATAGCTGCGTCGGGGTCCCGCAGCGGCTTGCTGCCCCGCTTCAGCACCGTTGTTCCCGAGGAGGGCCAACCCACGGCGCCTTTGCCCCTTAGGTACTTGTCTGCTTGCCACAAAGATAGCATCAAAAGCGCAAATTTATCACGAGAAATGGCGATATGTAAAGGGGCCGAATCATATCCTTGCGACACGAAGCCTCACGAACCATGTATGCATCGATGCGGAGGTTCTCAGAATGCGGTTCTACGAAGCAGCAAGCAGCTAGAACACAAGGTCGCCAACCTTGAGATGACGAGTCCCATTGCCAGAACCCTTCATCACCGCCACATACAACTACTCTCTCCGTCTTCTATGCATAAACCAGTCAACAAGAGATCGTGGCGATAAAAGGGAATAGAGCTGAAGTCATAGTATTGTGGGGGTTACAAGCAGAGCGCGGCCATCGACCAACGAGCTCTAACAATTGGTAAATATACGTACTCGAAACTGGGTTCTTTGGCCTCCATACCTTGAAGCGTCTCCTCTCCATCATACGATCATGAAACAGGTCAACGAACTGTGATCCAGCATATTGAGCGTATGATGTAATTCATCCCCTTTCAGAATTGTCAGCTCGTCGCAGTCGATAAAACAGGGGCGGAACGAGCTCCCTTCCTTAGGGTTGTGTTCAACCACCAAGTACGACGTCACGGTCTCAACTACGTGTCCATGTGGTAAAAAACCAATAAGGGCAATTGCCACGCTAAACGTTACGGAGACATCTCTAATAAGCACCCCTCACGCCCCTTTTCAAGTAGAATGTTGTAGCTCTACTCCCTCCGCCTTCCTGCCCTCCACAAAATCAACAGGCGCAGTATACGTCTTCCTCCCCTGCACAACGTACATGACGGTGGCAAGAGCAATGACGGCTGCCCAGATGAGAGGCGCCCAGTTCGCGTCGGCCACGCCCACGGGCAGAGACAGAGGGAAGCAACAGAAGACAACGATGAAGCCGCTGTATAGGAAAGCAAAGCCGTTGATGGCTAGGCCGTAGCGCCCAAGGCTCCAGCGTGCCGGGGGGAGGGGCTCGTGTTTGATGCGCTTGAGGAGGACGCAGCCGATGCTGAGCATGTAGGTGCTCATGAGGCCGAGGGTAGAGAGGGAGACGAGGATGTTGAAGGCGGCGTCGGAGCCGATTTGGATGAGGCTTAGGAGGACGCAGACGCCCGAGATGACGTACACGGAGTTGAAGGGAATCTTCCACTTGTTGTCCCTGTTCAAGCTATGTCAGCGATGGAACGACGGGAGGCCTACTACTCTCTGGCGGCGATCGGAGACTCTTACATGTGTCCGATGAAGCCGGAAAAGGGAAGGCCCTTGTCTCGGGCAAAAGCCCACGTCTCGCGAGCACAAGTCGCCAAAGCGGTAATGTTGCCGAGGTAGATCAGCACCCAGAGCAGGATGTTGAAGAACAGGTTGAGGCCGCTTGAGCCCGTCCTGTCGAAGAGAACAATGAAGGGCCAGTCGGATTCGATCTGGGGACATGTTTAATATTGTCTGTGGTACAACCTGACACATGGGACCCGGGGGAGAAACTTACCACATCCTCAATAGGCCCGATGCAGAACAGCATTGTGATGAGCATGATGAACCCAAAGAACACGTTGCCAAGATATGACCATATCATGGCTCTCGGCACCACGATCGACGCGTTCTCTACCTCCTCGGCGATGTGTACAACACTATCAGAGCCGAAGCAGCACCACATGATGTAAATCTGACTCGTCAAGTACGCAGCGCCCATGTTGTCCCATCCGCTCTGGTCCTGAAACGTCAGGAAGACGTCTCGGGCTGAGTTCTTGTCGCACAGCACCCACAACGGAATCATGACGACGAAGAAGCCAACAATGTGACCGATCAGACTCGCAGTCTCAAGCTGCGGGAAGAACGGCGTTCCGTAGGTGTTGAACATGACAGTGAGGAAGAGAATGGCCCACATGAGGAGGGTGATCTGCCAGCTGGTGAAGGCGTAGTCTGGGTTCGTGGCGTTGATACAGGCTTGAACCTGGTAGGCGAGGACGTAGACGCTGCTGGCGAGACTGGCAAGCCATCCCAGCGTTTTCATCCATCCAGACGCGTACGAAAGCACCTTCTGGTACGACGGAGGCGAAAATTCGGAAACCCAGTGGTACTGCCCTCCCGACGTCGGCGCCATAGACGCCATCTCGGCGAGGGAGAAGACGACGGTGGAATAGGCGGCGGTGGTGGTGATGAAGCACCAGAAGAGTCCAGCGAACCCACCGTTCGTGAAGCCGACGGACAGCGAGACGAGCACGAACTCCCAGGTTGCCATGTAGATGGCAACAAAGCCCAAGGCCGACCACAGTGAGAAGTTGCGCTTGAACTGCTGTTTCTTGCCAAGTCGCTGCATGTCGCGCCAGTCCTGGCCCGTGCCGCCTAGTCGCAGTCCATTGCCATAGTCGTCGCTGGTAGTTGGCGATGTCGACCGCCTCTCGTCGACGTCATCCTCGCGCTCTGTTGGCGACTTTTGGTAGCCTACCTTGTTCTCCATCGCATACGCTTGGCTGATGAGCCAGGGAGATTGGAATTGATGGCGAGAACATATTCTGGAGGGAATCACGGCGGGGAACTACTGTTTAATGTATAGCAATGGGAAAAAAAGACAAGACCTTATCATACAGCAGGGGTTGGAATTGGTACCGAGATCCTGGTTCGGGGTATCCAATAGGAGTGTCTCACACATCTGCAACATGCATCCATGGATCTTAGTGTTGGAGGTTTACCCAGATACAGACCGATGATCCGTCCATCCTTTTTATAGTGCAGATGCAATAATGTACGACGAAATAATGCATAGTAGTGCTGTGCTGAATATAAGACAAAAGGGCAGCTGGCACACCCGACATGCCCTACTACACACGATCACTTACGGTCAGTGTTGGCGGGAAAGAAAGATGTCCACCTCAGCTGAGGCCCATTAATGCATAAACATGGCATAGTCCGTCAAGGGCAGATTTCTTGTCCGGTGGAAGGCCACCAGCGGAAACCTGATGTTGAATATTCCTTTCGCTTTTCAAAACTCTATCATGTTTTAGCATGATGGTCAGGAAGAGCTCTCGTTTGGGCACTTCCTTATACACGACATCACTTTGAGAAACATACGAAGCATGCGACCGTCGCTTGATTTATGGTACCTCTAGGTCCAGACTTGACGATGATTACAGACGTTGCTAGTCGCTGGCCCGGAGGCTGCAATTGACTGCTCAAGCATCGTCTGAGTGTCAGTGGCGCATGATGTCCAATGCGCGTCCCCTGAGGTCTTCTGTTATGGCCTCGATGTACGAATACCTGGACATCCCATCACTATCAACATGAAAAACATGTGCATCTCTTGAATGTTTCCAACCTTATCTTCCCGCCTGAGGAGGCCACGGATCGGACAGCCGATGAGTGGTACATCGAACTAGTTGACATGCAGGTGGCAACGCTGGTCTTCCAGCAGCACGACATGGTCTCTGCAGAGGAAGACTGCAGGAACAAGTACGTCGCCCGTCAAATCTTCCGTTGGGCAACCACATGAGCAACGACTCGAAATCCGGCTTTCGGCAATGGAAGAAGCAGAGAAGGGCGCAGATTTTCTGCTAACATCTCCCTTGTCATCATACATGCGGCAAAGCTGGGAAACTGGTGGCTCGATTATTCCATGAGAAAGAGCGGGGCATTTAACGACATCTGCTGGAAGGACCTGGGTGAGAAGGTCTTCGGCGAAAGGGCGGCATTCATCCGGAGAGCGAGCTTTGGAGATTCAGTGACCGAGGAAGGACAAGCAACTATGGAACCGCTCGTACGATGCAAAATGGAGGTCTCAAGGAACCGTGTTCTGGTGAAATGGGATGCGGTAGAAGCAAGAGAGCGATTGTCTGCTTTGTTGTTCAATCGGTCGCATATGACTCCGTCCAAGCTGTCCGGAAGACCCTGAATGAGAGGTTTCTTCAACTTGCATTGCGCGTCGCAGGATTGGGGCCGTCCTACATGGCATTCCTCCAAGCACCACGGCATACGAACATGCAAGGATGGCCATGGGGATGTCGGCCCCTCCCGGAGATGAACCTCGAAATATTGTTCTCTTTTGAAGGGTAGATGAAGATGGCAAAAAAGGAACAAAGCATAAAATGAGCGAAGCAAGCGTGTTCTGAATTTTGGATTGCGGTGTTGATCCGGCTGAAGCTTCAACATGCACCAAATGGGCTGCCACCTCCAACTGGCATGAGTGGGCCAAGCATTTCTTATCGGCCCAGACAAATCCTTATCGCCAACCCGCCTTCTGAAAAAAATCCAGACCCTCCCGCCTTCAATCCACCCCCAATTGACAGAGAAGAGCCAAGCGACCGCAGCACACCACAACCGACCAAGATGGCGCCCTCCAAGACGAAGACGATGAAGAACAAGCACGCCGGCGGCAGGGGCGGGCAGAACAAGCACCAGGACCGCAAGCCCGGCCCGCCCGACGGCATCGTGCGCGCGAAGAAGACAGCCGGCACCCCGCCCTCGACCAAGACGATCGTGCAGAACAAGGTCGCGCGCCTGCTCGAGAAGCGCAAGAGGGACAAGAACAAGAAGTACACCGACGAGGAGCTCGGCCTGCCCAAGCTCAACATGATCACGCCCGTGGGCGTTGAGAAGCCCAAGGGCAAGAAGAAGGGCAAGATCTTCGTGGATGACCGGGTACGTTTTGACACGGCGCGCGCGCGCGCACAGGCCGAACGGTCTCATCCCCCCCCTGGCCCTTCCCAGATTGCTGACAGTCTGCGCAGGAGAGCATGAGCACGATTCTTTCCATTGTCCAGGCTGAGAAGGAGGGCCAGATCGAGTCCAAGATGATCAAGGCGCGCCAGATGGAGGAGATCCGCGAGGCGAGGAGGCTAGAGGAGGAGAAGAAGGTCGAGGAGCGCAGGGCGAAACTCGAGGACGTCAAGGACGGCCTGCGCAAGAAGAGGAAGCGCAGCAACAAGAACACGGGCGTCGACGAGGACAGAGTCAGCGAGCTGGCGGCGGCGGGCACCCGCGCCACCAAGCCCAAGTCGAAGAAGCGCGTCTCCTTCGCCGGCTGAACGGCACCTGTCAGCAGAGGGGTGGGTTTCGCAAACTGTAGTATGCATCATGTTCGGCGTTCAGGCGGGGTCGGAAAACAATTATCTTCTTGTGGCTTTTAAGACTCGGGCATGGCGTTATTGCAGATGCCATGACGAGTGGCGGGTTGGTGGCGCGAGGTCCTGCAGAGGCCTCAAGACGAGCAATGGAGACGAAATACCCAAAGCTTAGCAATGGTCTTTTCTTTTGTTCGTGATTCTCGCACCTTCATCTCGGCTTCTACGGTCCGAAAAAATCCGAAATCTAACTCAAGATCTATTTGACACGCTACTCTAGTTTCAAACATAACGCATGCTCACATATCGTGTACTCTACCAGGCCTTCTGGAAGTTGCAAATCTCCATCTTGCGCACCATGGGCAGGTACCGAGGCTGCTTCGCCTCGCTGCCAGAAGCAAGCTCGTGGTTGATACTCTCGAGGTCAATGTCGAAGGCCATGCGATTCAAGAAGTTAACCACCTGTGCTTTAGTCAGTTCTCAGGTTTCTTTTGTAGTTGGAAATTCACGTGGGACTCACCGGCTTCGCATGCCAGCGTCCACCACCCATTTCGAACCAGGACAGATGTCCGCCGAGAGAAGTCGTGCACAAGACGGTGTACGGATTCGTCTTGAACTCCTGATACGGAACGGCTTCATCGACAGCGATCTGATGAAGCGTCAGTTGCCGGCCTGTAATTCAATTCGGCACCAATCATACCGGGTCATCCGTTGCGTGTACCGCAAGGAAGGGAATCTTGATGGCGACCACTGCATCGCACGACGATGCATCGCGATAGTATGCGTCCTCGGTAGGATACCCCCAAGAGGCACACCTATGAGGTTAGCAAGAGACGGATAGGTGGCTGGTGCCCACATACTGCACTTCTCGATCGAATTCGTAGATGTAAGTGGCCTTTTCGATTCGTTCGTAGTTGAGGTCAGTAAACTTGCTGAGCGAGTCCTTGTGCCCCACAATGAGGTTTCTCATGTTTGCTGTTGTCGCGTTAGCCTCATGACTTCGTGAAGATTCCAGACTGATGGGGTACGCACTGCCCATCACCCGCTGATAGACCTCCTTGCCCAGTAGAGTTCGCTGCAGAGACTTGTTGGCAAGCTCGAGGTTGAAGGGGTTGGAGCACACAACGGCGGCGCGAAGCTGGCAGTTCGGGCCCTCCTCGCCGCAGTACTACGCGTCATTAGCATCTGCCAATGGCATGTCAGAATAAGGTAACTAGGTATATATGGACACATACAGTGGTGAGCATGTTTGCTCCCAGGGAAAAGCCCAAGCCGTAAAGAGGTCGGTTAGGGTATTTCTTTCTGAACCACTTGACCATCTGTGAGAAGTGGCATGTCAGTAACACTTTGGCCGTCAATTCGTCTGGACATGCCTCACCTGTCGAATGTCCCAGGTTGCGCGAGCATTGTACAGAACGCCGCTGGTGAACTTGCTCTGCGCGCAACCCCGCGAATTGATGACACACACATCCCACTTGCCTTCTTCAAGCAGAGGCGCGATGGCGTGCCTCAGATAGATCTCATGAGAGCCGCCGGAAAGGCCGTGAAGGACGATCAATTGGGGCTTGGTATCATTGGAGCCAAGGCTTGCAAACTCATCGTCCGTGAAATGGACGGTCCGCTCCGGAAGCGAGTCATCCGTCTCCTCAAAGGCATCAACGGCGAAGTCTACGGCGAAGGTGCCGTGGTAGGTCTGTTGATCGGCCTCAAAGACCTTTCGTTTGTAGTACACGGAAGGACCGGCCTGCTTGACCGAGGTGTAGAACGTTTGCATGTGGCCGTTGAAGAGGAGAGGGTTTAGTTGACAGGGTGGCACACTGCTCTCACAGACCTTCAACAGGTCCGTTTGCGAGCCATCTTTCTCTCGCAGAGGTAAAGGCGCGGTGGCGTGAGTGTATTTGATCTTTGCCCTGCCCAGCCACTCCATGATGCGAAAGAGGCGGAAGGGGTGCAGTTCAGCGAGGACGGTGAGCGTCGGTGATGAAGCGAAAGGCTGATAGGGCGCGAGCACGACAGGAAGGAGTGAAGCTCCAATGGCAATCCAGATGGTCCGAGAGGTGGTCAGGCCTGTGTCGCGAGGTTGGAAGAAGGATAGTAGCCGGGAGATGGCATGGTTCATGGGTTCCATGAAGCCAAGGGGGTAGATTTTCAGAACGCGAGTCCCGGATCCAAGTGGGGTGCCGGCGGTGGGTTGGACACTTTAAGATATGTGTTGCGGATCTGAGAACAAGGATCTAGGAGTGGTGTGGATCGGATGGCGCGCTGGGATGTCGACCTTGGATACTGAATCGGGTCAACAGGCAAGTGGCTGGCAGCAGCATATGAACCTTGACGAAAGTATAGGCGGCGTGGAAGGGGGAAATGTATAATGAAGTGATTGTCCCCCTACTAGATCCAGAGACTGTGAGAGGTATATCAACATGTGAACCTAACAAGACCGTTTATTGCTTCTACACCTCAGTGTCTCAGCGGCTGTTCTCGAGGTTCTGGCAGTCAGGGTCGCCAGAAAGAGAGATTCAGTGTCGAATTCTAGATTGTAGTGGGGCTTCGACGAACCGAGGCACGGAATTGCTGCTGGATTCAGGTGTAGATGACGAACCACTTGATACACCAGCCACATTGATCTATTTCGGGCCGTCGTCTGGTGTGGCGGTGTCAAGATGGATGGTTGGATTACATAAGGCACCCAAGGGAATGGGACGACGGGTCACGGACACGACGCGCTTCGATGGTGTCTGCGCATCAAGCTAAGGGCATCCTGTCGATGCAGGTGCCATGCCAAACCTCGGGGTCGCCTGATATCCATCCTCAAGGTGTGCGCGTTCACCATCCCCTTCTCCACCGGCGGCGCGGCGCGATCGAGCATTGGCAGCGCAACAGCTCGATGATCCATGATCGACAGGGTCTCATCCAGATGGGCGCCGACGCCTGACCGAACTCTCGACATCAGGAACCAATCTCATCCAGCCGGAGCCTGCCCCAGGCATTGACATTTGAAAGTTGGCATCCCGACGCTTCTTATGACCTGCCAACAATGTCGTACCCGGGCCAAATGCCCACGGGGCAACCCGGTTACAACAGCCAGCAGTATCAGTATCCGAACGGCCAGCAACAGGCCCCGCAACAGGCATATGTGCAGCAACACCAACAACAAGCGCCACCACTGCATGGCCACGTTCAACAGCAGCAACATGGGCTGCAGGTGCCACAGTACCAGCAGTACCAACAATATACACAGCAACAGCCTCAGCACCACCAGCTGCCTCAGCACCATCAGCAGCAGCAGTTTCAGGGCTATCAGCATCAGGGACAAGTGCCCCAAGGCCACTATGCCCACCTCTCTACACCCGCGCCGTCGATGAACTATGTCAATGTTCTGGCAAATAACAACGGCCAATTTTCGACATTCGACAATACTTTCGACCCACGACAAGACCAGCGCCCTCCTTCCGTATCCCCGGCACCTTCGCCATACCCCGCCGCCCAACCTTACCAAGTTGCTCCTGCGCAACTCCAAGCGATTACTCCTACTCCGCCTCCGGCCTACTCGTCACCATCGCCAGCGCCGATTCCCCAACAGATCCCACAGTTTCAGGTTCCTCAGACCAGCTCAAGAATAATGGGACAGCAGGATATCATGCCCGTTACCACCCCACAAAGCCATGTGTCGCTGCAACATCCAGCACCGGCGTCGCTTGCCAACGAGTCTCACCAAGTCCAACAGAGCCCCAGTCCGGCCTTTGCCAAATCACCCCTCCCGACGAAACGCCCGTCAATTTCGGCAATGAACTCGCCCGGCATCAGCAAGAGGTCTCCAGCGATCCCACCACGCCCGTCCCCAGCTTCCTCGGCCCGAGCTTCCCCAGCTATGACTCCGAAGACCAGGCCGTTCGAGTCTGCGACCGTTCTGGTTCATGTCGCCGAAGAGTGTTTGAGCAAAGCATACTCCGCTGTCTATAGTGTTGCCGCTTCACCAGACGAGGGCCGGATGCGAGAATATCAGAAGCTCGTCTCCACAGGCTTGGCCTGCTTGGACGCCGCTGTGCAGACGAATAAGCTTGCACCACGTCAAGAAGCGAAGGCGAGACTCAGATATGCATCAATATTGTACGAGGAGACGGAGAATTTGCAAGAGGCAGAGACTATTCTGTTTCAAGGAATCAAGCTCTGTGAGAAGGTTCGTATTGGAAATTTGATGGCCCAGCGAGTTGATACTGACACTTCAACAGCATCGTTATACAGATATGAAATACTGTATGCAGTATGCTGCGTTGAAAGTACTGTTCCAGAGGAATCACAAGGCAGCCTTTATTGCCATTGACAAGCAGATTGCAGAGTGTCAGACGTAAGTCTCAATCGGGTTGCAGTTTCTGGTGCATTACTAAAACCTTCTAGATTCAAGCACTACCCCTGGTTGTATGCTTTTCGACTTCTCAAGACGACGTTGCAAACGTATGCCGGCAACGCGCCCGATGCAAACCATTTCGACAACCTTCAAATGCTGGGAAAGTTCGCTTACGAGAGGGGCGACTACGCTATTGGAGTATTGGCCTCCTTACTGGAGGGCCTCGCTCACCTTCGGGTCATGAAGTCTGACAGCGTCGAAAGGGTTCAGACATGTCTTGCGCAAGCAGCCATGTATCAGCTGGATCCTGCTGTCAAGGTGCCCCAACTCGATATCTTGACACTGCTGCTGGACCTCGCTTGTAGTATGCATCAGAAGAATCCAGACATTCTGGTGCAGAAGCTGTCAGCACTAGAGTCAAGGCTAGACGAAACGATCAGCTCTCAGGACTGGACAGATGACGCCACAGAGGTCTATGTTCCTATGAAGAAGCAGCCCTCATCTTCCCTCATCATAAGTGAGGACACAACTGCGATTCTCCGTCCCGGGAAAGATGATGAGGGAACTGACCTGGTGGTTCTATCGTTCCTGTCGAAACAAGAACTCTTCGCCCTGGTGTAGGTACCTAGCCATTTGCACATTGGTGGCTAAAGCTGACGAGACGCAGCCACGCTTTTGGGGGTCTTGCGAACATGTATAGGCCTGCATCGCGGGAGCAAGTAGGCAAGATGAAGAGCTTGCAACGTTGGGCGGCCGGGCTGGAAACCGTACAACATGGTATGTCAACCGTATACCCCCAACCAAGAAGATGCTGGTGTTGACCTTCCTAGTTTCTACGCAACACATGTTGGGGAACCGCGCCTTATCGACCGTTTCGCTGCATGAATCCATCAGGCAGACCAAGTGGCGAACAGAAATTTTCTGTTATTTGCAGCTGCTGATTGGGCTGTACAATGCGACTCAGAGCAAATGGAAGCTCGTAGACCAAAGTGTCTCGAAACTCCAGAAAGCGGCCACGCCTGCGGTCAATGAGATATTTACACTATTCACACTATATCTGACAGGTGTCTACTATCAAGGCACCGGCGAGTTCGAAACAGCACTTACCATCTATGAGGATCCGCGGTTGCAGATCCCCTCTGGACCAGATGGTCCTGAGAGTAGAAAGCCAGCAGAGCTAGAAGTCTGCATACTGGCTGCGATGAGTCGACTGTGGATCCTCCAAGACCCGGGGTTCCAAGATGAACAAACCACAAATAAACTCTTGGAAAGCATACAGCCGCTATGCACAACACATCCCGACTCGGAGTTCCGCACTGCCTTCAGTCTCGTCCAGGTCACGACTCAGCCAGACCTGGAGATGAACATTGTGAAACAGAACATCCAATCCGCGCTTAACGGAGCGCAAAGGACGAACAACACTCACTGCCTCGCAATAGCATTGACGATCATGCGTTGTCGTCTCTTCGAGAACGTGGTGGGTGAGCAAGCGTTGAAGAGCGCCAAGGCAGCCTCGCAGCAGGCTAGGCGCAGCGGCAACCTCCTCTGGATGAGCGTGGCGGACGGCATGCTCGCCAACTCGTATGAAGTGCAGGGGCAGCTTGCCGAAGCCCGAGCGGCGCAGGCTGCTGCGCAGGAGAACGCTAGTCGCGCCGCCCGCGCGTTCGAGTGAATTGTAAGACTATTATTTTACACCATGGTGTTGTGGGGGAGTGGCATCTGGGGGAGTGGCATCAAAACCTGGCGCATGGAAATCTTGATTCGACGTTTTGTCAACTTGCAAATACCCCCTTGCTCCGAGAAGAGCAGTGTTTTGGCGGAAGAATATGGCTGGATGAAGGACTGATGGTGGAGCTGCGGTCGTGACGGGGATACGCCAGTGTCTGGTGCTGTTGTAACTACGAGATCTCTGATGTCCCCTTTTCAGCGCTGCATACATATCAAGCACACCATGGCTGCATAGAGCCTTGATGTGCAAAAGGGCTCCTTGTTTCATTCCCTCCGATCCTATAACGCAGCAATTGTGTTGAAGTCAGAGACACGGTGGCGGCCAGCCAAGCTATGTGATGGGACAGTCAGTGGCCGAGTTGGAGTGTGCTCGTTTGTATCCGTTTGCCGAGATTTGACACCAAACGTCAATCGTCGAATAGGCTGATCGCAGCTTGTAACATCGACCAAGTGAGTAGTATTCTTATACTTACACGACCAGCTCGAAGACAGGTGTAGCAGGATCTCGTACACGTATACGAGCCGTCCGCACGGCTGCTCTATCCTCGCCCAAGCAGAGCAAACCCATGGCTGGATGCTGTCACAACTCGTTTGAGGAAAGCGCGGTGATGATGGCTTGCATCATAAGTGTGCCGTGTCATTCAGGGTCCTTAGCTGCCAAGACACGGCGCTCAGCGCCCGCCCCCCAACCTGACTCTTGTAGCATCAAGAACCCTGGTCTTGCCGCACATGGCGTCCGCTGGTGAACCCTGCAGGCGTAGTTGACCAGGTATACGAGGCATCAAACGTGACCCTTCTTGAAGCTGTACTGGTGGCTACTTCGGGCGCCAAGCATAGAGCGCCAGCAGCATTCAGCTTCAGCCTTTCGGGCTGGGTAGGAAGTCGTAGCGACTACCGTGAATCGAGGTACAAATGGCTCAGTTCGCATGTGCGCAGAGGAGAGCCTTGTACGACTGTCGCAGCATCGAACAACGGCAACGCATATACTACTCACACCTGTGAATAGGTATCTAATCGTTGTCCTAGCCCCTGTTTGCCCTCGGCTCTCTAGAGACCCAACCGTAAGGCCCCGGAGGGCGCGACAACAGCAAGCAACATGACTACCACGGCGCCCTCAATGTCTAGTCCTACGAGCAGTATCTGCGATTATTGCCTCGAGTCGAACCTTGAGTTCTACGAACCATCCAGAGACTGCGAGGCTGCGGCCCGTGTCCTTGTCACCCTGCTCGGGAACAAGTCTCCAGACATGGACTCTCTGGTTGGCTACCTCCGTTCATTTGGTGGCTCGGACGTTCCGGACTGGCAAGCCTTCAACTGGTTCTTCTGCGCTCTGGATTGCGATAATGCCCTGTTGAACGAAAAGTTGATCTACCAGCCACAGCTGGAGTGCGATAAGCAAATCTGTGCTGTCTGGGAGTGGGATGGGAACGCCGACATTGTTGGTGTCGGGGTATGTACGCTCATCCTCACTGTGGGATGAAGAGCTCTGACTGAGTGATCTGGCCAGATGATGGTAGTATACGCCATGGGAGCTATACTCTCCACGATGTATCTCATCACCTTCATCCACGGCATGCTGAGGGACAACAACTATCAAAGCTTCAAAGCCCCCCAGGCCCCTCCTCAAAAAATGGCATCCTGGACGCGATTCGGAACATGTTCTACCACAGCTTCGGGGCCTTTCATTCCGGACTTGGTCTTCTGACGGCCTCGGTGTTGGTGGCTACGCTCATCATAGCCGGACAGAAAGAGAGCGTCTACGACATTGAGACGTCGTTCCTCTGTTCGGCGACCCTGACCGCCATGTTCTTCCTCACACTGCCAGCCTACCTGGATATCGAGCAACGATACGGCTCGGGGGTCTTCTTCGGCTTCGTGAACTGGCTACTTTTCATCATTTCTATGTCAATGAAGACAACAGCCGCGCGGGAAGCCAAGAAGGTCAAGGACGACGAGCCCTTTTCCTTTGAGGCCTTCTGTTGGGACAAGCAGGTATCTGACGAGGGCGCGACGGTGACGATCATAGCCCTCTCCATGGTTCCTTTGTGCGTGTTTCTGTTGGCAGGTCTGAATGCGGCCGTTGCCCACTGGATGAAGAGGCCGAAAGAGAGCGTTCCTGTTCTGGGCTGGCTGTTCTTCAGGATTCCGTGGAGGCTGGCGTATGCTCTGTATTTCTTTGTCTTCATGTGGGCCTCCCTGGGCAGCTTGTTCAAGCTCAAGTCGGAGATATCCAAGCTCAACGATGGAGGGGAGGCCAAGTCAGAGGAAAGATGGGGTTTCGGACAGATCCTAGCCTTGGCAACGTGGCTGCCCGAGTTTGAAGAGGCCATCATGGTCACGTACAGTGAGTCGCGTCCTCAGTCGACCGTTGCCCTAGAAGGCTTGCTCGCTCTTGAACGCCTGTAGCTAACCATGCGCCACGCCACAGAAAACGTACGGTACGCCAACCAGCGAAGGATGAATGGACATTTCGTTGGCGTAGAGAAGCCGGTCGAGGAGGAGAGCGTCTGCCTTGTGGAGCAAACACCCCAAAGCTATGCCAAAATAGAAACGGCCAAACGAAGTAGCCTAGCGAGAGGACAAATGACGTTCTGAGAGGCCGATACTAATTGAACATTTAATGCCAAACTGACAGTGGGAAAGGACTGAACAGCTGCGTTACGTGTTTGCTTGCGTTCCGCACTTCAGACAGCATGCTGCAAAGTGGCGCTTTCGGCAATGATATCAATCCGACACTGTGGTGTACAAGTTGCTCATGGTGAGACCCGCACATTCGGATCATAAGAATGACGTTTCCAGGGACAATTGGACATGTAACCGATTCGTTGGCGAGCTTGGGGCCGGAGATCAAGCTAGGTTGTTACAGTTGGTGGTAGCAGAGTCAACAATCGAAGACGCATTCAGAGGGCTGTGTGGAACAACGTTGTTGAAATAATACCGAATCTGTCCAACTAACGACGAAGGGGCCTGTTGAGGTGTTCGACTGAGCATTGCGAGTGCTTCATCCTGTGATTTCTGGGCTTTCTGGATGGGTCGGATACAACGGCTGTTGGCGTTTACATTGTTTCCGTGGTCTTTATTTGTAACCTACTTGCCTCCTATCCTGCCTCGCTCGCATCTTCTCTGCCAGGTTCCGAGCTGTAACTGAATACGACGAAGATTGGAAAATGGGGTTCAACAAGAATGTTGTAGACTCAAAAGCTTAGCAAGGGTCAAAAACCACCCAGATAGCATTCCTCATGGCGATGCGTACGGATCACTTTTTGTTCGCCGAAGGATATCAACCACTAAATCATGGCTTATTTGGGGCCTTTCCAAAGGCGGTACACCAGTACCAGCAGCAACTCCAGTTGGAATGTGAGGCACGACCCGATTCCTTCATGTGATGTACCTACCTGAAACTCCTACAAGAAAGCCAGACAGCAATCGCACCGCTTCTTGGCGTGGATTCCGGGGAGGTTGTCTTTATCCCAAACGCAACAATGGGCGTTAACACTGTCCTTCGAAACTTGACGTTCAATGAGGGCGATGTGATTCTGCATTTAGGTACCATATACGGCGCTTGTGAGAAAACAATTCAGTCTCTCTCAGAAGTTTTCCCCGTCGCAGGGTACTCGGTTGAGATAACAAATCCGATAGAAGATGAAGAGATCATCAAGCGTTTCCGCAACGCTGTCTCGGCAATTCAAGCTCAGGGCAAACAAGCTAGGATCGCCATGTTTGATACTGTTCTGACGTTCCCCGGAGCTCGGTTCCCGTGGGAGGCATTAGTGGAGGTGTGCAGAGAACTCGGTGTCCTAAGCTTTATCGACGGCGCTCATGGGGTCGGCCACATCGATCTGGCCCATCTCGGCAGCGTCGGACCAGACTTCATGGTCAGCAACTGCTACAAGTGAGTCTTGTGCCTTGAATGATCGCAGATTGGCAACTCTGACTCCCGCTACAGATGGCTGATGGTTCCGAGAGGCTGTGCGATTCTCCATGTGCCATTTCGGAACCAAGCGTTGATTGCAACCAGTATGCCGACGTCCTGGGGGTACGAGACTAATGAAGAGAGAGCAAAGTTGAACCCGCAAGAGTACTTCTCTCGTCTGTTCAACAAGGTCTCAACGACAGACAATACGCCATATTGTTGTGTCCCGTTGGCACTCAAGTTTAGGGCTCGTGTATGCGGTGGCGAGGCCAACATCCGCAAGTACTGTGAGGATCTGGCGAACCGGGGCGACGAGGGAATGGCTCAATTGCTAGACACGACGTGCCTTGGAGATCCATCAAGCTCATTCCAACGCTGCTGTTTCGTCAACGTTAGGCTGCCCCTAACACTAATAGATCTCGCGATCGATGCAGACGACGGCTCAAAAGTCACGAAGTGGATGCAAGAGCGCACGCCGGCCGAGTGTGAGACTTATCTTCCATAAGTTCTATGCAGGGGAGTTCTGGTGCAGAGTCAGCGGCCAGATCTACTGGACGATGGATGACTTTGAGTGGGCTGCGAAGACGCTGCAGCAGCTCTGCGAGCGTGCGATCGCCGGTGAGTGGAGATAGCTCTGGGTCCAGAATCGCATTTCGGGTCTTTTGTGTCCTGAGAATGTGATCTCAACGAGGCATGTCATGCCTATCAGGCAAGAATTGAAATGATGAACGATGAAGAAGATGATGTCGAATAAGGCAAACGAGGTTGACTGTCCCACGGCATTCAGGGGCTGGGCTGTTCCTGCCCCTGACGAAGCTGGGCGAAGATGACTAACAAGCACGGTCCACTTTCGCAGACGTGACGTGAGGGACCCAAGTTTTTTTTGGCCATCAGCAACGGAAGCTGTGATGCAGGTGCTGATGCTGATTCTGAATTTGCCCTGCACATTGTCATTTCCCTCCGAACCGCCAGGCTGTCCCCTCCAACCACTGCCATGCTCAAATTGCATAGCGCAGCTCTTCGGAGGATCAGAACGCCCTACGTTTGTTCTGCCTGTCGTTTTCATCCCCATACCCAGGATCAGCGACTGCAATGGCAGACGAGCGCCCAGCGACCTGGCGTCGCGCATCGCCAGTACAGCAGCAGTAGCTCTCCGTCTGACCACGACAAGACCAGCTCAACTCCTGTCGCGCCAAACGATGCCCCCAGATCCGAAAGCAAACTCTCGCAGCCGAAAGGAAGGGCGGCGCGAAACAAACGAGCTTCAGGCAAGGCGCAGGCCAAGGCCTCAGCAACTGCAACCAACAAGTCCAAATCTACGAGACCTAAGCACACGCCTAAGGCCAAGGATGCTGAAGCGGTCACGACGGAGGGTACAAGCCCTGAGATCATCCAGCAGGTCTTCTCCTCTCTTCAGGGACTTGAACAGAGCTACCGAACCATCAGCCGCCGCCTCAAGCAGTTTGAGCAGCAGCCCAACGAAGGGTCCGCCCCGGGCGCCAACACAGCCGATGCCTCCCAGCCAGCCACCACTGACGGAAACAAGAGCATGAACCAGTCGGTCCACAAGTCGGCTCAAAAGCTAGGATCCAAGCTGCGTGTCCTCAGTGGGACACTTGAGGTACTGCGGAACGTCCTTGGGTCCCAGCAAATATCCATTGGCGAGCTGAGCAAGGAGGCGCGCAAGCAGAATAAACCGACAAAGGACGCAAACAAAGCCAAGCCTACAAATGCAGCGGAGACAAGAACCGACGCCGATGTTTCGCGTGCCTCTGACAGCTTGTCCGTCAAAAGCTTCATCAAGAAGATCCCGACGGGTGCCGCTGCCGTCGCCGCCACCGTAGCCGCTACAGTTCCGACCCCTACCCCGGAAGCCCCGAGTACTCCATCACCCCCGCTCCGAAAAGATCTGGGCCCTTTGGACAGCCTGCCTGCGCACGACAAATACTTTCCCCGCGTTCCGGCGGTCGAACCATCAACAGAATCCCAATCTCCTGAGGCCAAGACGGCGAGAAAGCCCAAGAAGCCAAACGTCATCACGAAGAAATCTCCACCGAATGTCAAAGTCGCCAAAGCCAGCAAGCTGGAACTCACCCCGGTGGATCGGCCTGGTGGACCTGAAGTCCCCAAGCTGGCCTACGGCCTCGACCGCGTGTTGTTCAACCCTGGCGTATACCACCTGCAGGACCCTCGCTCGCGCGTATACAATTTTGACCCCTATCTGTCTAAAATCATGCCCACTACCGAATTCGACTTTGGCGCGCTGAAGAAGTATGTCACATCGTCGAAGGACACCACGCTGAACGACCTGGCGGCCAAGCTGGGCAAGAAGTACAGTGGTTCGACATCGAGCATGACTTCCATGCTTTCTCACTTCCACTTCCTGCTGTCCGCATGGCGTCCCATCAACCCCGAAAACCTGAGCCAGGGATTTGAGCCAGACTTCAGCAGCTACACTTTGATATCACGCGCGCCTGCGGCTATTTTCCTGACACTGAAAAATGGCGTCTACTCCATCGACGCGGACAAGGAGTATGACACGGCCAATGTCCTCAGCATGCTGGGCAAGTCCATGGAGAAACTGTTGACGCTACCGAAGGAGGAGTTTGAGCGATACCGCCACAAGTATTCGGACTCGATCACCGAAGAGGAGAGAAACGCGGAGGAGGCATTCCATTTCTCAACGCTAGGGGATTTCCTCATGCGATCGCAGCTTGATGCCTACGACAAGAGGCTGCCTGGTACAGGCATGTTTGATCTCAAGACGAGGGCTGTCGTGTCGATTCGCATGGATGCTGCGCAGTTCAAAAAGGGCCAAGGCTACGAGATTCGCCGAAGGTTCGGACAGTGGGAGTCGTTTGAGCGCGAGTATTACGACATGATCAGAGCTGCTTTCTTGAAGTACTCCCTCCAGGTCCGCATGGGTCGCATGGACGGCATCTTTGTTGCCTTCCACAACACGCAGCGCATCTTTGGCTTCCAGTACATTCCTCTGGAAGAGATGGATACCGCTCTTCACGGAACGGACGACAGGAGCCTGGGTGACCAGGAGTTCAAGCTCAGTCTGCACCTTTTGAACGAGGTCCTCGACCGTGCGACCAAGAAGTTCCCTGGACGGACGCTTCGTCTGCATGTCGAGACTCGACCGGGAGACCCACCCTTTACTTACATCTTCGCTCGACCTGTCACCGACGAAGAGGTGGCGCAAGTGCAAAACTCTAACCAAGCAGCTGTTGCTGAGTTTGAGAGAAAGCTCATGGGCATCGAGCAGGAGGAGAACGAGGCCGAAGCCAGCGAGCTGGACATTGAACCGCAGCCGGCGCAAGAGGAAGAAATGGCCGACACGCCGGAGGAGACAAGGCAGCAGACCCTCGAATTCTGGGAAGAGATGCAGGACAAGGTCGAAGAGGCTGTGGAGAATGATGCTCTTGGCGTCAACCACGTTCGCGAGGCCATCCAGTCGGCTCTTGAGCAGAGCGGTCTTCTCAAGGCTCGATCTGCTGAGGAGGCGCAGAGCTACGTCGAGTCGCTGCTCGACGCCCTGACTGGCAGTCAGGCCTCAGACGCATCAAAGGCGGCAGAGGACGAGTACCCCGCCGTGTCAAGTGAGCTTGCTTCTCCTGACACCGTGATTGAAGTCCCCGCTGGCGAAGACTCGGTCACCGAGGGCGGGCAAGCAAGGTTAGGGTTCGCCGAGGAGCCACAGTCGTCCGTAGAGGAGGCGGACTCAGCGTCTTCAGCACTCGAATCATCCACTCGCTCTTCCGACCTCAGTCTGAAGGAGCTCATTCTCCGCGTGGCGGAGCGCATTGACAACAGGCCCGAGACGGAAGAGACCACCCTGACGCCAGAACAGGCGGCCTCGGAAATCTCCAAGCTCGGAGAGTTTGAGCGGCTACTGGTCAAGCTGGTTGAGACTAAACACGAAAAGTCGTCCAGCGAGACGACGGAGGATGTTGCGCCGGCTCTGTCTCCCGAATCCAACGAGACCCCCGCCGAAGCCGCCAACGAGGCCTCCGCCGCCGACAAGACGGCGCCTGCTGCGGAGGAGCAGCCGAAAGAGGAGCCTCTAGAAGACATCGTCGGCGATGAGATCCTCGGCATGCACCTGACGGTCCGCAACAAGGTGGACAACAAATACGTCACGCGTCCCGAGCGACCCAAGGACCGCAGCTCTCGCCCCCTGCGCTGGACGCTCGAGTACTCTATCGAGGAGATTCCCGCGCAGTCGGCCAAGCGCATCTACCAGTCCATCCAGACGCGGCGGAAGAAGGCCCTCAAGTCGGACAGCGATGACCGCAGCAACCAGTGGCGGCAGATGTGGCAGGGCAAGCTGCAGGACATGTCGCAACGCGGCCGCCGGTTCCGACAGAAGGAGGACGCGCACGGCCGGAAGAACCCCGTGCACCTGTTCGAGAGGGAAGAGCCCCTCACGTGGCAGGAGGCGTTTGGACACGAGGACAACTGGCTGGAAAACCAGAAGAAGAGCGATGGGAAGAAGGAGGATGACTGAGGAGGAGATGGATACCCACGAAAGGGCATGTAAAAGCAAAGGTCTCTTATACGAAGGGGGGTTTTCAATGTATCATGTACGATGTATTATACTGTCACCACTACCACCATCAAAAGCCTCTGGCGCGAGGTCTGGACAATACACCTTTCTAATTTCTTCGCATTTGAAGGATTCGACACGGTATGCATGTATGAATTCCTTAAAGTGACCCACGTTCGACAAGCTGAATTTTACACTGTGATTTACAAACCCGACCAAATGGCTTGCCACTCGAATGCCTCGGCCTAGGCGATCTGCCTCGACCCTATTCTCATGTCAAGTCGCAGGTTTCAGACTGTTACGGCCCGACGGCTGCTCCTTTTCAGTCCCACGTACGCCAAACTCCAAGCATGGGTATCTACTCTCTGTTAGAGGCGGCTCAGTCCCCGACGAGAGGTGCGGACAGACAGACCATTGTGTCCAACTCTTGGCAAGCGCAGCGACCATGGCCTCCCCACTCCTCATCAAAGGGAGCCACCTGGTTCGACGGCCGATGGCCTCATTCGCCCTTGGCACATGGAGGGCCGCATTACTAGTTACTTTTTGAGGGGAGGGAAAGTTCCTCTGCCCTTTTCCTTCTCGCAACCTGCCGTTCGTCGGCTCACCTGCGGGGAAAGCCAGGCGGCTGGAACCCCGGTGGCGGCAGGAACCCCGGCGGCGCAGGAGGCGTGCCGCTCGGCGCGGGGAAGCCGTGCGGCGGCGGCACGGTGCCAAAGCCAGGCGGGGGCGGGGGTCCGCCGGGGGCCGGCCTAAAGTTGCCCGGGGCGCTGCCGGGGTGGAAGTCGGCCGGGTTCGTGTAGCCGGCCTGGCTGGCGGGCGGGCGGGCGGGGAGGCCGGAGGAAGCGGCATGTCCCCTTTGCTGATGGCCGATAGGGCTGGCCTGATTCTACGCCAGGGAGCGCCAGGGTCGCGTGGGCGGCGGGCACGGCGTTGTAAGCGGGGAAACCGCGGGGGCGGGGCCCCAAACCCGGGGGGGATGCCGGGCTGGGCCATCTGGGGGTGCTGCTGTTGCTGGTGCTGGTGCTGGTGGTGCTGGTGGTGCATCGGCAGGCCGTTGGCGGGGTCGAAGCCTGCGGGGACGGGGGGGGCGCCGGGGGCGACGGCCGGCGGCGGCTGGGGCTGGTTGAGGAAGGCGGCGGGGACGGGCTGCATCTCGGGGACAATGTTGCGCTTCTTGGCCTGGGCGGCGAGTTCACGCTCGGCGGCGTCGCCGTGGCGCTCGCCCTTGCCGTCCTTCTTGAAGGCGTACTGGACCGACACCTCCTTGCTGAGGAGGTACTGGCCGTGGAGGTTCTCGACGGCGGCGTCGGAGCTCTCAAAGTCGGCAAAGGAGATGAAGCCGAAGCCCTTGGAGTTGCCGCTGTCCTCGCGGGCGACCTTGGGCAGCGTGAGGAGGGGGCCGAAGCGAGAGAAGGTGTCGTAGAGGATCTTCTCGTCGACCATGGGGTCGAGGTTGCCGACGAAGAGCTCGGCGCCGACCTCGGCCTGCTTCTGCTTGTCTGCGCTCGCCTTGTTGACGCGCAGGGATTTGCCGTACAGTTTGACGCCGTTCATGACGTTGGCTGCGTACTCTGCGTCGCCGGGGGTGCGGAACTCGACGAAGCCGAAGCCCTGGTGGGTTTGTGTGACACGGTCGCGGGGCATGTGAATGTTGTGGATGGGGCCCATCTGGAGCATGATCTCGTAGACCATGGTCGAAGTCGCGCGCTCGTCGATGTTGCCGATGTAGACGGTCGCATCCTTGTCCTGCTCCCTGTGTCGCGTTAGCTGGGGGGCCACTGATCTGGAGAGGCACAAGAGGAGCTTACCAGTGTCGATTTTGCGCCATGGTAGCGGTTGTGTCTGGGATTGAAGACGACTCGCGTGTCTCGTGATTCGAATCGAGATTTTGGAGAGGGGGCGAGGTCGGCGGTCGTCACAGCGTTCGGGTCAGACGTAAAGTCGAAGTGAAGCTGATGCCTTGAAGCTGTGCAGGTTTACCAGGAAATTTGGCGATGCAAGCGGTACGTACCTGCAGATCGAGAGCCGTGTCGCGCGCTAAGGCGGGTGTTCTAGGCGCGGTCCCAGGCGCGGTCCCAGGCGCCGCCCCATGCGCAGGCGCCGCGGCAACGAGCTGCTGGTTTCTGTCGTGCCGCGGTTTTTCCGGGCTCGGGCTCGAAAAAAGTCCATCGGCATCCAGGAGACAGACAGACAGACAGACAGAGAGAGCTCCATCGTGCATCGCGACTGAAGTCACCGACGACATCCGAATCTCCCATCCACCCGCGAACCTTGACGGCATCACAAGCGGTCGACCGACTCGAAGACCCAGGCTTCCCATTCATCACACTGCCTTGCGTCCCCCAACCGACGTCATGTTCGCCCTTTCCGAAGAGTCCAAGGTACGAACGGCTGACCTCGACACATGCAACAGTCGAACATGCATCTTGGATCAATACTGATAGTTGCTGTTGCAGGAGCGCATCGGCAAGATCATTGAGGTCTCGCGCGTCGCCCTTCACTAGTATGTTCCCCTGTTCCCCCCGACACGCAATCTTGCGCAATCTCGATGGAGAGAACCCGGCTGACCTGGATCCAGTGGCTACCTGCCTTTGATCCTCTACCTTGGTACGATGCGAGAACACGACGACAGACGACGGTCGACAGTCGACAGTAATGACGAAGCTAACACATGGCAGGCTACACTCGCAGCGACCCCCGCCCTTCGGTCATCCGGTAAGCCTGTCCGAGCAGTCTTGAATGCCCGACACGAAACGCTAACCCATGAAAGCCTCCTGTCCCCCCTCTCTTAGACACCTCGCCATGCCGGAACAAAAAACGAGAGCATCTCGATGTACATGTATGATATAGAAGAAGCAGAAGGACTCGGGGATGTGCGATCCATGCGCCAGGGATGGATGCGCAGGGCCCGTACTGGGTAGCACCTCGGGGGAGCGTGCCGACGGCGGCAGAAGAGAAGATTCTGTCGGCTCAGTCGTGAATGGTGAATGAACTGTACCACTAGCTGTCATAATGGATGAAACCGCTCTGAAGAACCAACCCATGCTAGATGCTATCGCTCTCCGTGACCGTGACTTGGACTGCTCGTCTCCGTACCTTAAGTCAAGGCAATTGATTAAATGCGCAGAGCTCGTCACGAAATCTCGGCTAGAGTGACGTAAGGTCACCCCATGCACCACCGAAACGTACATTTCCCGGCAAAAGCTCTGAGCTCCGAAAACTCCAAAGCTCGACTTCATTCAACATCGCAACTGCACACCGAGGACTCTTTCTTCCTCCATTTCCATCCCCTCCCAACAACCTCCGTCGAGGCAGCGGCTCTCAACAACCTCCGTCGAGGCAGTCGTTCTCCATCGCCATGTAAACTAGACCTCTCTCGCCTGCCATGTCCGACCGCAACGATGCGGGCCTCTCACCCGCCGTTGTCGAGTCGATCGCTGGCCTCTCCGCCGGCTCCGTCGCGACGCTCGTCGTCCATCCCCTCGACATTGTCAAGACGCGCATGCAGAGTACGTACTCCCACAAACACGCACACACACACACCTGCTCACCAGGCAGAACACCCAAACTGACAGCGCCCTCCAGTCCACCGCAGCTCGACAGCGCCCAAGCATACGCTGACGACCATGTCCCTGATCCGCTCCCTGACGCAGAACCCGCACCCCGTGGCCTCGCTGTACCGCGGCCTGACGCCCAACCTCATCGGCAACGCCTCGTCCTGGGCGTCCTTCTTCTTCTTCAAGTCGCGCATCGAGCGGCTCCTCGCCGGCGGCACGGACCGCACGACGCGCGACCGCACGCTCTCGACGCCGCACTTTCTCCTCTCGGCCGCCGGCGCCGGCGCCCTGACGCAGGTGCTGACGAACCCGGTCTGGGTGCTCAAGACGCGCATGCTGTCGTCGGACCGCGGCGACGCCGGCGCCTACCCGAGCATGCTCGCCGGCGCGCGCCGCCTCCTCGCCGCCGAGGGCTGGCGCGGCTTCTACCGCGGCCTCGCCGTCGGCCTCGTCAGCAACTCTATGAATTTCTTCATTCAAAACACCGAGAAGTGAATGCCACAATGTTTACAACCTTCAGAATGAACTGAATAAAGTATTAATTATATTAGGAGCTGGGCAGAAATTTGGTGATGGGCCGGGGGGTT